AAACAGATGAGGGAGAGAACAATTTAAAAGCAATATATGATAGGGTATTATAGTTATCACAAGGGTCCAGAATTAAGGTTGCATAGTAGAGTGTATTTGGGGGTGGGGGGGTGGGGAGAAGGAGTTGACTTGCTCCTTGAACACTTGGGGCACAATGGAACAGTGCTGGCCAGATCACGCCTGCTTTACCAGATCTGCATAGGCTTCTGCAATCTCCTCACCCTTCATGCCCAGTGGGTGACAGAAGTTGCCCTCTTCCAGATAGTAATTGCTGAGGAAGTACTCAGTGAGCTGTGGCACATTCCTCAGACACTGCAGGAAGCAGTTGCCAGGTGAATGAAGCAGAGAAAAGGGATAGAAAGTAGTCAAGGTGGGGACAGCAAAGAGGAAGAAGGAAGAAAGAAGGGACAGAGGGGTGAGCGAGCAAAGGTCTAAAACAGTTACAAGAAGAATGTGATGGCACAGGAGATGGGGGTGGGGGGAGGTGGAGGGGAAGTATAAAGCAGCAGGCAAGCAGGAGATGCTACTGCTTTTTCAGAAAGAAGAATCAATGTTTCAGGAATGAACGGGAGCATATTAATTCAGACTTAAGAGGTCTCAGTTTCCAACCCAACTCTTTGCCCAGCAGATTCTCCCACCCCCTCATTCTGTCACCAATCCCCAGCTCATGAAGCTCACAAAGTTCCAATGGGCCCACCTGCAGGGCTGAGTTCATGAAGCATGTGTTGCCCAGATTGGCAAGGCCACAGACGCCCAGCTGGTCCTGGAAGTCTCCATCTTCCTTCAACAGATTTTTTTCCTGGAGTTGGATAAGAATTTATTATCAGCTGAGGGCCTACGACATGCAGGTGAAACATGTTCATGGTCACAGTCCTTCTGCCTATTGCAGAAACCGATTCAGGACCAGACAGCCCAAGGCTCACTCAACATTCTGCTTTGTGAAGTGCTATCTTTGTTCTGGATCTCCATGACAATCACCTGGGTTGGAGGCAAAGATAAAATAGAAAGGAAGACATTAATGGGGGTCCTTATAGGTACTTCAACCTCATCCACTCACCTCATGCCCTCTACCCCATCCTTACCTGACCAGTCTTGAGGTGGTTGAGGTGGACATCAAATACTGTAAATTATTTGCTCAAAAGAAGCCTCTGAGTGTCTGATCCACAGTCATGTATCTTCCTGGGGGTGTGCCAGAAACTGCTCCTAAGCTCTCTGCAACACCAGGTCTATGGAGAGTGATGGAATACATTTTAGGTATTCTTGAGACCCCAAACCACCTACACATCGCAGGATCAGACCTGACTCATCACCATTCACCATATATAATTGGCCAACATCTAAATGTGTTTATCAATCTCCAGATGAATAATCTACCCTCAGAATTTGAGATCCCCAGCATACCATCCTCTGCCACACCATCTAAGCCACTCAAATACATCTCACATACTCTCAGGACTCTGGCTGAGAGCCTCAGTGCCTCTGCCTAATTGTGAACCCCCAAAGGACCTTCTAGGTTCTCCAAAGCCTTACTAATGACCTTCTCACTCCGTCTAACCCATGCACCAAGCTTTGGCTTCTGGCTAGGAACACCAATTTATTTTATGATCTTTAGGCATACCAATAGTATCAGTGTGGCTGAATTAGGCAGTGTGAAGAATGCCCTAATAGAATTTCTTCAACATAGTATTTCTGCAAACCCAAGAACCAACATTGTTCTCAATGGAGAGAGGTTAAAGGCATTCCCTTTAAGAACAGGAACTAGGCAAGGATGCCCACTATCACCTCTCTTATTTAATATTGCTTAGGAAGTCTTAGCGATAGCAATAAGACAAGAGAAGGGAATAAAAGGTATCCAAATTGGCAAAGAGGAGGTAAAATTATCTCTCTATGCATCAGACAGTTGGACAGTGACTAGGGTAGATAGAAAGAGAATTGATGCCTTTGAGCTGTGGTGCTGGAGAAGAGTGTTGAATACCATGGACTGCTAGGAAAACAAACAGGTTTGTCCTGGAGAGGGTGAAGCCAGAATGTCCCCTGGAGTCAAGGATTCTGAAGCTTCGTCTGACATATTTTGGACATGTTGCAAGGAGGGACTGGTCCTTGGAGAGGGACATCATGTTTGGCTGAGTGGAGGGGCGGCGAGGGAAAGGAAGGCCTTTGATGAGATGGATCGATTCTGTGAATAGAGAGGTGGGAATAAGTGCGTTTGAGATGGCTAGGTTGGCACAGGATAGAAGAGCATATAGAGCTCTTGTACATAGGGTCACTATGAGTCGCAAGCGACTCGATGGCACATAACAACAACAACAACAATGCAGATGATATGATACTATACTTAGAAAACCCTAAAGACTCAGCAAGAAAACTATTGGACACAGTGGACCAATTCAGCAAAGTAGATAAACATGCAAAACAAGATCAACATACAAAACAAAATCAACATAAAAAAA